AGTGGTTCCCAAACTTGGCAACTTTAAGACTTGTGGACTTCAACTCCCAGAGTTCTCCAGCCAGAAGAGCTAGCTGGAGGATTCTGGGAGTTGAAGCCCACAAGTCTTAAAGTTGCCAAGTTTGGGAACCACTGATTTAAAGTAACAATCTTCTACATTACGGTGCCCTTCAGATGTGTTGAACCAATTCCTAGACTTCCTAAAGATCTAGCTACTGAGGAAATCTTGGTCCCACACATGCACTTGGGGAAGGTTGCTATACAGATGCTAATTGTAGTGTCACATGGTTCACCGACAAAAGGGCGCCCGACAAAAGCGTGCCCAATGAAACCGCGAGTTCTAAACCACGCCGACAAATGAGCGCTGAAGCGCACCAACAGCACACCAACAGAAGCGCGCTCTAAACCTAACCCTAAACCTGACCCTGACCCTTACTTTAACTTAAATCGCGCTTCTGTCGGCGCTTGTCGGGTCACAGTGTCACATGTATAGGGCAATATAATGATCCAGTATGACGTGTGCATGATCTATGTCTGCATATCTTTATACTCTTGCCTACCATCCTCACTTCCACTGTATGTGTTGCCTCTTCTTTAGGTTTGTTAGCTCTCTCTTTGTGATCTAACCAGTTCCATCGAACCATGATTTCTTTAGTCTTCTCTTCCTCTCAACCACTATTCTTTCACATAGTTCAAGAGCAAGTCAACCCCTGTTCCTTCCATATCAATAAACCATATTTTTCATATTGGTCACTTATTGTATTCACTTTACATTTATTCAACACCCATTACTTGTCAACACTACTTTTTCTTGTTCCACAAATGCACCTGAAGTATCCTATTTATAAGGCATACTAACCAGTAGTGGGTTGCAGGCAGTACACCCCAGTACAGGCATACCGGAGCCTGCCTGGAGCACCAGGTACCGTTCTGGTATGGTGCTCTGGAGTGCCTGCTTGTGTTCCTTACCTGTCTTTAAACCCTTTGGCGCTTCTGTACATGCGCATGGCACGTATAGCACCTGCATGACGGTCCGCCGAGCAGCTGGAGCGTCACGGAGGCATTGCTGGATGGTAAGACGCATGCGCACTGTGCACATGTGCACATGCACCGCACGCATTCATGTGGAGGATGCTGGGCCCCATTGCAACTATACCAATTGCAATGGAATCCGGAACCCACCACTGATACCAACTCTCTGGAATAATGAAGTGGACAAAAGTACTTTATTATACACTGCAGTTTCCCCTTCTTTGAAGAAACATTTATTTTTCACCACCGAACATGTGTTACCTCCTACCAGCATTTGTACCATCATTACTTTTTTTCATTAATTCTCCTATCTTTATTAAATATACTATCAAGTTACACATCTTCTCACAATTTGTGTATTGCTCTATATTTCCTGTCAAGCCCAACTACATTGATACAATGCATTAATTCAGTTTCCTTGTTGCATCATTTAACATATGCTGAAAATCATTTTGATATTCTCAACCAAAATAATCTGCACCTACCCCACATTCAAATTCTCAAGTAACACACCCATACAATCACTACAAGCATTCTATCTGTTTATCCATAAATTCTTCTATCCATGAAGTCATTACAAACCCTTTTTCCTTGTCCAGTGCCAACTCTTTCACTAAGCATCTTTCATCTTCATGCATTTTACTTCTATGAATAGATGTACGTGCACGTATATGCATCAGCCAATTTCAACTCTATATTGTATATTTCAAGTTTGTTTGCTTTATTATGTTTTCCTTAAATCTACAAAGCATAATAATGTTTATTTTTCGCATGCATCTATTTCTTCATGGCTTGCTATAAAACAAAGGCTTGGACTACATTGCATTTCTCAGACTATCATCTCTTAGAGACTTTCAAACACCTTCCCAGGCACTTTTAACAACAAAGAAATTCTGTAGTTTTTGTAACTTTTTCTTTATACAGAGGAACAATAACAGCACTGTTTCAATTATCAGTCAGAGCAGTAGCTTTCTCACATAGACAAATCACACAGTACCTCCACAAGAAAACCACATTTAAATTTCAGTTATTTCATTTAAATCTTCAGCCTTACTACTTTTAAACATTTTTAGAGCACTTAATTATTCCTTTTCATTATGAAGATTGAGCTTGTAATCAAAATGTGTCCAAATTATCAAGAGACTGTAAGCAGGGGATGCTGCATATGGCGAGTGGCATTTAAGACTGTTAATGTAGTCCTTAACTTAGTTTACTTTAAAAAAAAGTTTCATTTTTCAACTAAATACTATGTATTTCTTCCTTCCATATACTTTATATGTTTTTTTCCTACAGATACTTCTTAGATTACTTCCTTATTTTTATTACTCAATAATTATGACTCAGTTTTCAACGTCAAGGTTTCATCAAACTTTACAGTTAAGGGCATTTTTACAATTTTAACATCAGATAAAGTTTACTCATCTTTCCTACTTTTGAAAAATTTCCTATTTCACTACTTTTGAATAAACATTTTTTTATCCTCTGGCATTTAACAGCCCCTCTAATAAAAGAAATTAGGAGTTGAAATGTTTGATGAAACTTCTTAATTAATAATGGACATGTATTGCATCATCCTCACAAAATGATATTAACTTTTTACACTGAAGTATTATTAAACTCTGAAATGCAGTTTTCCTTCGAGAATCTCTGGAATGTTGTAATTACTAATCATTTTTAGTGACTGCCACAAAGCTAAGCTCTGGATGATCAGTACATATCAGCTAGTGTAAATGTGTGACTTGTGCTTTAATTCAAGATAACGGATTTTTAAAAAACCTCTGTGTGTGTTAGTTATCTTTGTGGTAATCTGATGGTTTCAAAAAGAGGCAAGTACTAAGTTCATATTTAACTTGGAGATTAGAAAGATTTAGTTTGAAATCTTTGTGGTTTTAAAAAAGACTGAATAGCACAGTATATTTTGGAATTATTTAAATCTGTTTCAAATTATTCGATCACTTACTGAAGTCTGTTTCAATCTATTCCCTTTTGCTTGATGATCTCCTTATCTATGCCTTGAAAATGAGTAGGATCTCATAAGTCAATCTCCACTATGATGTCTTTCAAGTGTGTTGGACTAAGCCTTTCCATGGTTTCCTATCTTCACCTCAATGAGCCAGGGAATTCATAAGATATGGGCTGCAGATTGAGTGTAATATAGTATAATTGTTCATACATTTCTCCTTTCCTTAAACTGGATGAGGGCTGGGCAACATTAGAACAATTAGAACATAGAACAATAGGCACAAAACTATCTGGAAGACACCAGGTTGAGCAACAACCTTAATGTTTCAGAAGATAGACTCATAGTGAATCATAGCATGTGAACGTCTGGGTGGGGGAAGTTGGGCAGGACCAGAAACAGAGAATTCAGATCCCTTCCTAAAAGATAGGGGCTCCCATCCTCCCCTTCCCATTTACCCATGCTGGAGAGCTTTCCAACCAGTCCCGCATTCCGCACCGCTTCAGGACCGTGATCCACTCCTCTTTTTTTCTGCAAGACAAAAAAGGGATCCCCGCCGTGATTACAAGCGACAGCCGTGGGAAGTGACATCAATGAGCCCACGAGGCCGCTTGGAAATTTCCAGTTCCCGGCAGCATCCTCTGTCGCCGCCACCCCTCTTCCCCGCCAGCCAGCCAAATTCTCTAGAAATCTCCATCCCAACCTTTCCTTCCTGCCTTCCGACACCCACCGCCGCCCCGTTTCCCCTCCTCATCACTGCAGGCTTTGCGACACGACCGCGTGGTGCAGCAGCCTTGCTCCTGCTTAGGGAGCATTATCGCGGATCGACTGGATCGGACACGAACGATAAATAGATCATTCATCTTCGGAGCATCCCTTTGCCCCAGCCCAGCACGCGGCATCAAGTTCCCTTCCTTTTGTTAGGCTGCTGGCTGGGGAAGGCGGAGGTCCACAAGCCCCGCCGCGCCCCCTTCCCGGGGGGAAAGGGCCAAAGGACGCCTCTCCCCCCTTCTCTCTCCCCCACCTCTCGCATTCCCGGACGGACAAAACGGTGGTCTGGACTATCCCCTGCCCGCGATGTCCACCTACCTGGCCCCGGGAGAAGGGGGCCCCAATGATGGCCACCGAATGGGAGAGCTTCCGAGGGACCCGCAGAGGGGAGCCCGCTTGCTGGAGGAGCCGAGAGAAACTGCTACGAACAGCCATCGCGGCGAGAGGTCTGGGAAGGAGAGCTTCGCTCAAGTAGCAGCTTTGTTACCGCGCCGGCGCCGGCGCCCGCTTGAGCCCGAAGCTTTATAACCAGCAGATTTGTCGAGCCTCTGCGCCTTTGGCCCCGCCCCTTGGCCCTCGGCCCACTTACGAGCCAATCGGCGTAGAGGTGGCCGCGGGCGTGCCTCCGAGCCCCTCGGAAGACGCGAGCGAACGTGACCAAAGCTGCTTGGAGACCTCCTGGCTTCTGCATTCCTTCTTGACCTCCCTCTGGCTTTCACAGGTCGTTCCGGAATTTTGCCCCCACCCAACCCCCCCAAAGACATTTCTACCTGGGTGGTTTTCTTTCTTCTTCTTCTTGTGGAATCAAATTATTTTAAGGTGAGGAGTAGCCGAGTTACCTGTTTCTCTTAAAAATCTGAATTCAGGTTTTCGCTCCCTTTCATCCTTAGACTTAGAATTTAAGAATAACTTTAATGTCACTTTGAATGTACACTAATCGTCAAACATGTAATGAATTTTCATTGCATACAGCTCTCAAAGTGTCACCACCTCCAATATACACTATGTAAACATGACAAAAGAAATAAATAAATACAAAATTATCCATACTCCCACATATATTATATGGCAAAGAGAAACAACACAATCTAAAAGCTCCATAACCCCACCCCCCCAACAACATTCCTAAAACCAGGTTAGATATTTCCTTTTTTTTTTAAGGAAAGTTGGGCTCACAGATCAATGCAGTACATGTACTGGACTAGAAGGGATGAGGGGACAATTTCCTTTGAATTCAGAGCAATTTATTTTAGTGGCTCTCATGGAAGATTTAAAGATACAGGACTGGTTGGTTGGTTGGTTGGTTGGTTGGTTGGTTGTAATTATTCAAGATAACATATACTGAATTCTCCGCTCAGACAAATGAGCGTCTGTACAGATGAGACTCACGCAGACATAATTTCATCATTTTCAGTTCTTCTTTTTATCTATGAGGTGTAAGATTTTAGTGTTGGGAAACGATGTCACACTGACGGGTTATTTCAGCCTCTACAGGAAATAATAAAAGCTTATCTTAAGGGCGACCCCTCTTACTCAGGGCTTAGCCTTACCCAACATGTTGGATGACTCCTCAATGAGGAGTCACATGAGTTCCACTTGTTCCCTTTGCCACATTTGCAGCCCAAGACATCTAAGAGTGGATTATTGGACATACACCATTTCCACAGAAGTCAGCTGTCAGCTGGTTACATCTCACACGTATTTCCTGTGTCTACTGCCATTTCTGGAAATAACTCAGAGCTGACCAGAGTCAAACTATCTGTTTTAATCTTTTGCAATCTAAAAGCATTGCCATGTTTCCAGAAAGATGCTTCACAGTTGTTTTTCTAAGAAAAGTAAGGATGAAAAGAAGTTACTAATGTAGATCAGGTTACGAAGTGCTGGTGAATATCTAGCTCCATTTTGGTAGGCACAGGCTGAATAGAATCTGGTCTTGCCAATTCTCTAACAGGCTAAAATTCAGGATTCTTTGAGTCATGGGATACAGCGTGGAACTGTTAGCTTCCAGCATTCCAATAGTCTGAGCCACAACAGAACAAGTACTGACGAGTTTCCACCACAGATTCTGAGGAGATTCTACACTTTATGGAAAGTTACTGTCCAGATTACGGAAAAACACAGGACTGTTTTGCAATCATATTTGCTAATGCTCAGTTCCAAGTGATTCAGTTCCCACATCAGTAAAAAAATATTTAAAAATTAATACTGTTTTATTGTTTTTAATTGTACCTGCTTCAGAGATTAGTATTTGGTGCCAGTCTGCTTTAAAAAAAAATTAAAACAAGCATAACATAAATGAAATAAATATGTGTGATATGTGACACATTTATGAAAATACACTATAACTGTACAATTAATCAATTGATTGATTACAATTAAACTGTACAATTAAGTAAGCTTTGTAATTATGAATAAAATGTATTGAGGAAACTGCCATGTGAGTAAAATATCAGTTATTGTAAGCAAATCCTTTTTTAAAAAAGTATTCTATGAGATGAAATTATACATTGTATAAAATTGTATTACAATCCCCCCTGGGAATCACATGATGCTGTGTTTCCCCACTTCTTTTAAATAAATAATATCATTCTTAGCATCAAGAGGAGGTTTTTTTCATTTCTGTAAATTTTTCCTCATTTTTTTTCCAAATTCAAAGACATCAATTTCTCCAACGTCAATGTAGGGATAATTTTTACAAGGTTCTTTTTTCTGTGGGTCTATGCAAACCACAGGACAAGGAACCAATCGGAATTTAAAAGAAAATCCATCCAAGCCGGATCATCTCGATTTCTCGGGACTGAGAACCAAGAACAGCAAGCACAACGCTGCCCGAGAAAGAGAAGACCAGGAGGACCTAATGAATCGGAGATCTTTCTTTGGGGGGCGGTGGGCTGTCACTTCCTACGCTCCGGTCCCGGTTGTGTAAAGGGAGGGAGGTTGAAGCAGTCAAGGAAAGCCCTCCCCGCCGTCTCTCCAACCTTTCCAGCACAACAGACAGCTCCTAGCTGGGAGAGGCGGAACTACCATCGAGCGACAGCCGGCTAGAGAGGATGGAGCGTAGAAAAAGAGCCGCTCTGCGCATCTGCGAACCGCCTTCGCCTCGCTCCCCGACTCCGACATGGCGGAAGAGCGGGAATACCTGTCGGTCTCCGGGGCTCCTATTAAGCTGCGGCCCCTCCACCACAGCGCCTCCTGTCGGGAGCTGCAGGTGCGCTCCCCGCGGCTGCAGTTGGGCTCTCTGAGTGCCGTCACGTGCTGCGTCTGGCTCGTGGCTTATGGGCTCTTCGTCGTCAGCCAGGTAGCCGTCGGGTCGCCGCTCGTCTTCAAGGCGGTCCTGAAACCGGAAGTTCGCTCAGTCTCGGGGAGCGAAGGGGCAGTTAATGGCCCGCCATTATGTGGGAACCCCACTCCCCAAGAATTCAGCGGGAACAGGCAGCCCCACAATCCTCCATCCCCTTTCAGATTGCTGATGGGCTCTTAGTGTCTTGTAGGGTTTCTCTTTAAATCAGGGGTTCCCAAACTTAGCAACTTTAAGACTTGTGGACTTCAATTCCCAGAATTCTCCAGCCAGCATAGCTGGGAGTTGAATTTCACAAGTCTTAAAAGTTGCCAAGTTTGAAGACCTCTGCTTTAAATGGTGTGGCCTTACACTCCCAGAATTTTGCAGCCAGCATTGGGCTACACAAGTTGTCAAGGTAGAGAAAGACTGACCATTGAATTAAGTGGTTATTATTGTCAAGCTGGTGTACTACGTTTATCACCAGGCCACCTTATGTGTGTGGTCCTCCTAACCCTTTGGCAGGATGTCCCAAAGGTGCTTTTCTCAAGAGCCGAAGAAGCTTCTTGGATGAGAAGCGAAAGGTCTCCAAAGAAAACCCAGAAAGTCCAGTTGCCTCTTGGAAAAAGCACCTTTGGGATTCATTTTAATAGTTTCTATAGTAGCTTCTATATTGTGGTACGCTGGTGCTGTATTCTCCACCATCCAGTCAGAGCTGAATAAGCTGCTTGTATCAGAAGTATAATGTCTTCAAAGAAAAACAAGAAAGTCCCATTGACTCTTGAAAAAGCACCTTTGGGACAGCCATGACCTGGATGACTGAGAATCTCCATAGAGTTTGTCAGGATATTAACACACAGCTTTGTCTGACCCATTCTAGTCCTGCCTCATAGTAGCTACTACCCAGCTTCCCTCCAATTTAGAAATGGGACATGAGGCCATTGTTGACATGTGGTCCGTCCCCATCCCTCCTGCTTGCCTTGGTCCCCAGTCACTGATTTTCAATGCCATTTGTCTTTTGGCAACAAGACAGTTGAGGCTTTCTCCCTCTACATCAGTGTTTCTCAACCTCGGCACCTTGAAGATCAGTGGACTTCAACTCCCAGAATTCTCCCACCAGTTAGCCTGGCAGGGGGATTCTGGGAGTTAAAGTTCACCCATCTTCAAGCTGCCAAGGTTGAGAAACACTGCTCTACATGCTCTTCAGAATCACTAGAATTCATCTTCCATCATCCACAATCAACATTTCTGTTTTGGTTGCACATGATATAGGGTGAAGTCTGGTGGCTCTGTAAGACTTTCAGTTGAGCAATGGTTGAACAAAATGTCTCTGAAGATTCTCAGCCATCCAGGTCATGGTTGTCCCAAACGTGTTCTTTTGAAGAGGCAACTGGACTTTCTGGTTTTTCTTTGAAGACGTTTCGCTTCTCAACTAAGAAGTTTCCTTAGAGCTGAAGAAGCTTCTTGGATGAGAAAAACAAGTAAGTCCAGTTTGCCTCTTCAAAAAGCACATTTGGTTGAAATAAAGTTCCCAAAAGTGAGGAAAAAACACAACTCTTTTTCACATTTATTTCCTTGTATTTTAAAACATTTCTTCTAGTGCCGCATCACCTTCTGCTCATCTCACCTATCTCAACGATCTCTTTATCTGAGATAAATTGTTCATGAACCACCTTTTTCCCAAGAGGGTCTTTAAGCATTAATTCAAATATCTTAAAATTTGTTTATCTACAGTTTCTTAACTAGACCTGCAGGTCAATATAAAATCCATCATGTCTTGTGAAATTAATATGGTTCTCTTTCTAAATGAAGCTGCATATGATTTTAGTACTGGTTAAAAAAACATATTAAGAGCCTTCCAGGAAAAACAACTATTGTAAATAAAAACAATTCAAAGATGTTTGGGACCTTCTATCTGCACTATATGTAATTATCAGTGTCATGTCTTCAACTCTACTCTTGTACCTCTGTTTTAAAAATAAGCATGTTCTTATTTTGCCAGAAATGTATATTTTTAGTTTGATGTTCTATTTTTACCTCTGATATAAGAACAAGTAATATCTGTTTTATGAAACACAAATATACAACAGATGTACAACTGTGCTTACGCAACTATTTATTGTGTCTGCATAATTTCATTTTGTACTCTTTAATATAGTGCATGAGCTGCTCATATAGATTTTAATGGTAATAAGCAGCTTTTCCTTTGAAAGTGTTTCATAGTATTACGGTATAATTATGTAGAATACAAAATGACTTTTGTTTTCGTCCATTTGAGAACTTGTTTTCTATTACAGAACACTATGGTGCTCTCTGCTTCTATATTTATCACATTGATTGGCCTACTTGTATACCTGCACTTTGTGAAAATTGACCAGGAGTCTCTGCTGATAATTGACTCGCTTGGAATACAGATGACCTCGTCCTATGCATCAGGGAAAGAAAGCACAACCTTTATAGAGATGAACCAGGTCAAAGATGTGGTCATCAACGAAGCCATTTATATGGTAAGGAAATCCTTTTCCTACACTACAAAGAAATTTTATTAACAATTGTATTAACAAGAGATATCTCAGAAAGAAAGAAAAACTTGAATATTTCATATTCCTAGTGAAAAGAATCTGAGGAAAAGAAGTGATGCATGTGCTTGTTCTACATTGTAAAATACTGTTTCATTGCTTATTAATTTTGAAATGGGAGAACTCTGAAGGACACTCCACCTATTGAACTTAATAGGATTGGGATGATTCCAGAAATGGCGCAGTCATGAGAACTAGTTAAATTTTAGATATAATTGGCAGATATGTACTACCGATATGAGCAATAGACTTGTTTGCTTTCTTCTAAAAAATAACTGATTGCAAGTTGCTTTCTGTTTAAAAATCACTATACCTTTGGAACAGTTTTAACAATCAGAAAATGAGTGAGAATGCAATATACAGAGACCCAGTATCATGCAAAGCCACAATGGTGTAAATAATCTCTTCTTTAACAATATGTTGTTTCTTGCAGGAAGTTAAACCACAATCTGGCAAACCATATCATAGTTTAGTACATATATTAGTATATACTAATATATAATATTTATATTGTATAATACATATTTGAACCAGCCATAGTCAATAATGAAAACTTGAGGTGATACATGAAATGAGAAGGTGTTTATTAAAAAAAAGCTGATACTGAAGGAACTTTTTAAAAAGGGAGATTTCTGTGTTGTCTATTCTTAGTTATAAGCTTCTCTACTCCTATTTGAATGCTGTTCTAAAGAATCCCACTGACACAAATATTATTTACCTGTATATTTTTATGTCCATAGAACGTAGTGTGGATAGCAATCTCTTCTGAAGGATTGTTATTTTAAGAGCAGATTTTATAGCTGTGATAATTATATTTTTTACTATCTTATCTATACACTATTAATTTTAGCAAAAAGTTATCTACTACTTGTGCATCCTTCTCCAAGATCCTATTGAACCTCATGCTGTTTCTGAAGTAGTGCCACTATTTCAGGTAGGTACAAAGTGTATTGCTGAGGATGCTAAGACCTATCATACCATATGCTTTTCTTGCGGAAACGCTTCTTGGAAGCCATTTGTTTCTTTTCAGTATTTCTTCTGTGGAAAATACATAGAAATTGTAAAAATATTAAAAATATTTTTACATTAGAGAACAGCGTTTTACGTGATCTTTTTCTCAATCCCATGTTAAAGAATATGTGTATCTTTGAAACTTACTGACTTGCAATAACTATGCCTTTAGATATAGCAGTGATGTGCTCAGCTGAGCATGGACTGACTGCTGAACTTTTTAGATAGTTAATTTTGCACAGGTAGGTGGAGTAGTAACCTTTGTCACCCTTTGATGCATTTAAGTTCTTGTTTTTCTCAGTTATATCAACTCTAAAGAATACAATTTACCACCTCACTGAGCCTATAAACACTTCTATAATCACGGAGTGTACTAAATTAACCTTTTTCTATGAAACTTCTAGATATTCTGTATCTCTCTGCAAACAAAGTTTCCAAATGGACTTTATTCTGTTAAAAGATCTTTCAGAAGTAAAAAAAAATAGCTAGCGAGCAGAGCGTAGAAAATTACTGAGTAGATTAAAAATAATTGATACATTAATTTCTTTTTTAATTGTTACATAACTCAGCAACAGCAAATATTATTATATATTATATATTCTTTAGCAATATGTTATAATATTTCTTGTACTGAGAAAGATGGAATTCTAGCCTGAATAGAATAATTCAGTTGGACCTGATGAATTCAGGCCTTCAAAAAAAATTTCCCTCTATTTATTTCTTCCCATTCTATCTGCAGGTAGACTACCCTTGAGATCAGGAACTTGCAGTTTGGGAACAAAAACTATAATTTTTTTTTTTTTGTTAACTTAGAAAAGCAAGTGATAGATATATATGGAGTAAATCCTCAGTATATCTAAAGTCAGTGGAATTTATACAGTGTTCAGTATGCAAGCATTGGAGTTAAACATGAAATAAGAACCATTGCCGTGGAATCATGAGCTGTAGACTACACTGGTAAATCAATTTTGTACAGAGAACTAAAATTGAGTTGTGCATTTGGAGCTTTCTCTAGGAAGGAAGGTTGATTTATTAAGGAATTCCCAATTTGGGAAAGTTTATAAATGTGTTCAATTGGTTGTTGTGATTGTCCTGTAAAATCCAAGAATTCATATTTTATAGTGATTCTGTATCATTTTTATACAGTTTCAGCTGCAAATTCACATAAAATATTATTTTTATTTATAGAGCTCCATGCCACGTCTAGACTGCCTTGTAGACATATACAAAAGTTGCCAAGAAATCCTGGAGCAGAGGAAAAAATCTTGATACCATCTTTTAATGTGAAACTTTTTATCAAGACAGAAGAGCCACAATAATACAACTTTTCCCCAAGTTATTAGGTGAAGCTTTTCCAAAGCAACCATGTCAACGTCCCTGACTTGATTGACAACTAGGTAAGACTAGATTCAAATCCACCGAGGAACTGAAAACTGCTAGTGGCTTTTTGAGAAAGGATTGAACGTGCAGCTGTGAAGAAATGTCACAGAACAAAATTACTAATCCAGGTTCCAAATTTTCTTTGGTCAACCTCATGATGTAAGAAGCTCAATGATAACTTTTTCCTGTCAAAAATTAACCCTGTCTAAATGACTGGAAATCTACAAGGAAAGTTCAGCAGAAATAAGATGAAAGTAAAGTTTTTTCCCCCTTCCTAAATAAAGTTCCATGGAAGACTAGAATCTGTTTTCTGATAATGTTGAGTTATATGCTATCGGCTTTTACAGACTTAATTTTGTTCATTATGTATGTATGTATGTATGTATGTATGTATGTATGTATGTATTAGTGCAGCGGTTCCCAAACTTGGCAACTTTAAGACTTGTGGACTTCAATTCCCAGAATTCTGCTGAGCTGGCTGGAGAATTCTGGGAATTGAAGTCCACAAGTCTTAAAGTTGCCAAGTTTGGGAACCACTGTATTAGTGGATAATGGTAGATGTAGTTTCTGGTTGCTAGCTAAGATAATTTGTATTTATGGAATTCACAAGCAAAGTGATTTTTCATGAGGATGCACTTTGATTTTACAAAAAAAAAAAAAAAACTGGAAAATTAGACACCTGCTTCTTAAACAATAGCTTCATCTGCCCAGACATCTACACCTAAAGTGCATTTTTACATCAAAAGCTGAGAAACAAAGCTCCAATTACAAGCCCCAAAGAAAAAGAAAAATCAGAAAGTCCAGTTGCCTCTTGCTTTTTCATCAAGAGGCAACTGGACTTTCTGTTTTTTCTTTGAAGACATTTTGCTTCTCATCCAAGAAGCTTCTGAAGAAGCTTTTTGGATGAGAAGCAAAACGTCAGCTCCGAAGAAGCTTTTTGGATGAGAAGCAAAACATCTTTAAAGAAAAAACAGAAAGTCCAGTTGCCTCTTGGAAACAAGCACCTTTGGGGCAACCATGACCTGGATGAGTGAGAATCTCTAAAGACATCCTATTAAAAAAATACGGTGAAAGAAAATATTCTTATTGTAGTGAAAATCTCACTTATCAACACCACTTCCATCTTAATACAGAACACAGTTTTATGCATGGGACAGCATAATTGTAAAGCTAATTTTTCATCAGTTTTTCTAATGTCCAGTTAGGGCTAGGTGACATGGTCAGTATTAAACTTTGCTATACTGAAATGAAATATCTGTCAAAGTTGCTATACTTTAAAAGAAACAAACTATAAATAAATAATAATTTATTTATATGAGAACTTGTATGAACCAGAAGAGAGCCCCAGCTAATATCTTCCATATTGGAATCTCCATTTTCTATTTATAAAATGGGCATTTAAAATTAGTTTATAATGATGACAAGCACAACTGGAACTGAAGAATTTTCAACCCGATATAAAAATAAATTGTACCATGCCATGCTGATAAAATATTTCTTATTTTAGACTGCTATGTTGCTTTTTACTAAAGATGCATATCAAGGTTTACTTTTGTATATATAGATAAACCACACATATAATATCCTTGCTCCTTTGGGAACAAATGTTTTTTCAAGTTCCTGTGCTTTTACTGCATAAAAGACCATTGGGAGTGCTCAAAGATCATGAATACGCCAGATTAAATACATTTAGCTCCACTTTTTAACAGATCTATTGTAATAAAAGGTACCTTTATTTGACAGGAAATTGATATCCCAATTTCCACATATTAGTTTCTGATTTAAGAATTAGTTGGTCAGAATTAACATTAACTGGTAAGGAAGGCAAAAAGGATATTTAAGGCAAAATATATATTTAAATATATTTATTTACTAGCCATTCTCTTATCTAAAATAGGATACCTGAAAATAACTATCACTATGACTTTTTTTTTTGGTACAAAGCTAATCTCAGTAACTAAATAACCAAAAAGTCAAATTATTTTATTTAGAAGTGATTAATGGCAATAGTGGGCACGTGGAAAATTAATCAGTGATTATAATATTACAAAGAATGTACTTGTGACTGAAAAGAAAATACAATTATACAGTGGAAGCCAAAGGATTATCTGGTTGGTAAATGTCATACACTGTCATTTACAATATATCTAGATTTGTTCATAATTTTGCTAAATCCCCAAAGCATTTTATGAAATTCAATTTTTATTTTGTCATATGCATTAAAATACATCAGTGGGAATGATACTGTATATTTCAGTGAGATATATTTCAGCTTCTGTGTGTTTGTGTGTGTGCGCTTGTGCATGCACAAACACACACACACTAAAATATCTGAGCAATACACAGGCCTACAGTAGAACACTTGAGCTAAGATTTAAGCATCTTTTACATCTAACATCCTGCTTTCCTTAAAACTTACGAAAGAAAACATTCCACAAACCTATCTAACTTGTGTTGCTCAGCTGCTCTTATCACTAGTCTTGGATTCTTACTGTTGTTATCCAAATATTTAGCTTCTTGTGGCCTTGACCTATTGTTTCCTGACGTTGGTCCACAAGATGTGTAATTGATTCATATGTATATCCTTTGCACATAGCTCAAATGAATATAAAACTGTCGAGGTATATCCTGTCCAACTGGATGTCATGTGTATTTATTTGAAGTAAGTAACTCATACCCTCAAGGGTAAACTGCATTGCAGGCTTGGCTTTCATTCTTTTGCTTGAACATGCTGGTTCTGGTGGGGGGGTGGGGGAAATCAGGTCATTGTAAAATAAGGACAGGGCAGGGAAATACCGATCTTGGGGAAAATACTGTTCCAAAGGGCATTAACGGTGGCATAGAGGGCAGGTTCCTGGATCTTATAAGATTATACTATTTTATCCATGAGTCTTTGAACTTATTGACTGTCAGATCAAACAGGATGCCACGGAAGATAGCTCTCAAATAATCAGACCCAGAAGAGCTTTAAAGATGGTAACTAGCACCTTGAATTGCACCCAGAAGCCTATTGGTAACTGGTGCAGTTCCTAAATCAGAGGTGATATGTGGCAAACCAAGGGTTGTCCATAACTTCCCGAGCTTCCAAATGGTCTTCAACAGCAGTCCCATATGCAACACATAACAATATTCTATATGTGGATGACCAAAGCATGACTACCCAAAGTGTCTCCTGTTTCAGAAAAGTTAAAGTTGGCCTACAAGATGAATCTCTGCAAGGGCTGCCTTGGCTACAACTGCCACCTGTTCAACAGGAGTTGGGAGTCCATAAAGATTTCCCAGTAGTGCAGCAGCTCTGAGAAGTATAATGGTATGTGGGCTATCAAATACAAGGAATCCTTGGTATGGTTAATGACCACACATTTGGTGACCGCACATTTGGTTCAAAGGTACAATAGTGCTGAATGAGTGGTGATTATGATCAGTTCTTGAAGTTCCAGCTATCCTTCAACTTCAGCACCTCCACGATCACATGGAGGCCACTTGGTGACCATTTCACAGCATCACTTGGTTAAGTCAGGATTCAGATACACAACTGGGTGTTTATCAGCATACTGGAGATACCTTAACCCAGTGTTTTATATTTGGGAAAGAACATTGAGGTTTGTAGCTTCCCATATACCAAAGGCGTCCAACTCAATCTCCCACTAACTTCTGATTAGATTTGGAGAAAAGAGGAGAAACATCATGCCACTCAAATTTAAGGCTCACAAGAACTCCAAAGTGATAACATTTTGGAAGGTATCAAAATCAGAGATCAAGAAGAACGGTTGCACACACATACCCATAATCACATCTCAGCTCTGCCAAAAGTTATCCAAAAGTGTAACCAGTACCATCCAAATGCTGTGTCTTTGTTTGAAACCTGACTAAAATGAATCAAAACAATCAGTTTCCTCCAGGACTCTAAAGCTGCATCCTGATTACTTCAACAATTTTCACTAAGAAGGGAAGTTGGAGACTGAACAAAAATTATTCAGGACTGTTGAATCCTCCAACAGCTTCTTCAGCATCAACAAAACCAAAACTATGACAAAACATGCTACTTTTTGGAAAACCTTAGCAACCTAAAAGGGGCATGAAACTAATGGACAACTGATCAGGTTAGAACTCCTAAAGTTCCTGTTCAGGAATTACTTGTACAAATTCTTTTCAGTTAACCAAGCGAGATTATGCTTTCATTATCTTGAGAGGACCAGCCCAGTCAGAATCTATTCTCTTGTCATTAGAGTACTGAAATGTGTCATCTGAAGAAGTTGCCATCTGATAGGTCTTTAACTCTGATACAGAACCATCAGCATGTAAAAGCTACTTTCTGTTGCTGGGCACAACAGTCAGAGTGGGTGACTGTGTGATTCCAAGCCTCTCAATTGTTTTTTTTTAATTAGCTGGCAATTGATTTCATTCTGCAATTTATTAGGGATAAGGCAGACCTGTAATACTGTTAGTGTCACATGGTAATCAATACAGGGAGCTTCCATTGTGACATTGATGAACAGCTGACTGAAACACGGAGAGGAATAAGGAGAAGCACATGAACTGAGAAAGTCAACATTAGATGCAAACAAAAACTAACATCAGGACACAAAGTGCTTTAAACCTATTAAGAAAAGAGCCATTTTCCCAAGGGAAGAAAAAAAGGAGCAAGAGGAAAACAGAAACAAAAATAATTAGATGAGGGAATAATTAGATAAACTGATCAAATATTTTTTGTCCAAATTGGCAGATTGTAGTTGTTTCAGTTGCTCATGCATGGGCTGGATTCTAGATCAAGTTTCAATAAGGCGCCTTCTACTATATCCTTCAGTTGATAGATTCTCTTTTTCATCTGTGCAACCAGCAAATCTAGTTTGGGAATGGCTATATCCTGTTTCCCTGAAAATAAAACTGGGTATTATATTAATTTTTGCTCCAAAAGACTCATTAGAGATTCACTTATTTTCCAGTTAGGTCTTATTTTTGGGGAAATACAGTACTAAATGCGTCATCTGACTGATGATCTTAACTGAGGCTTATTTTGGGGGTAGGGCTTATATTACGAGCATCCTGAAAAATCATGCTAGGACTTATTTTCCTGTTGGGTCTTATTTTCAGGAAACACGGTAGGTGAACTATGGGAACTAGAGAGTTGTGCCAAAGGCTTCATGGAAAAGATGTATTTAGAGGGTGAATCTGAATGAATTAAAAGAGATATTGAAGATTCTGGAAAGCTGCTTCAAACAGCATACATACTCACGTAGGTCTCATTTATTTTATTTTGTTTAAATAATATTATTCTGGATTACAAAACAGCAAAGAAATA